GAATATAGATTTTTTTCTAGGAAAGAAAATATTGATATATATCGCAAAATTGATATTATTACACAGCCCTAGTGTCATGTCAGTATTATGCACACCCCTTCAAATAAAGTGTTACCCATAGTTTTAAATGGATAAAGTAGGCTAACATTAAGTTTCTATAATGACTTTCCTATAGCCCTCACCTTCTCCAACTTAAACTAACGCTTTGAATTCTGCCAAGAAAAGTGATCAAATATCCAGTCAGAATTATTCCAGATGAAATCTTTGAAAGCCCCAAATCAATGTGACATACTGCATGTAGTCTCAAAAGGCATACATCACAGAGTATGTAAATGAAGCAGAAATACCCTGACTGCACTATAATTTCTCAATCCTGGCAGGTTTAACTTTAGCAGGGTGGAAGGTTTATGTTGTTGCAAGTATAAGTGACAGGACACAGGATGCAGAATAAAAATAGATGTTCTCTTTCAGTATCACTCTCAGTATTTGTGAAAGATTCCTTTAATACCACTGCACATATCCTGTGGGAACACATAATATACAGGCTACACAAAATTAGTTTACGTCCATCCAGCAGAAACTGTTAAACTAGTACGGCAAGTGGCGAAAGAAGTTGGATTCTCAGAATGAAAAGATGAATATTACCAAGAATGATCCATTAGAATTAAAATCTGCATAAAATCACAAAAGTGTTCATCTTTTAAACATTTCTATGTGCATGATGAGAAAAAATGATTTTTGTTGCATTTTCCTATTTAGTGTTACAGTCATTATAGCTTCCCGTCCTCTACCAGTCTTTTACACCCGGAGACTGAAAGTCTTACCCATTTCTACACAGAAAAATCTCAGTCAGGTTGGATGAAGAAGAATCTGTGAGTAGGAGTCATCAAGTTTTGCCACAGATTTCCAAGGAGATTTTCACATAGGCCACCCAGACATAAATGCTTTGATCTAAACCTTTCATTGCAAATATTTCTGGTTGTTTAGGGTTGTTGTCTTGGTGGAAGGTGATTTGGTATTCTGGACTCTATTCACTACTTAAGGGTTTACATGCTAACACATCTGACATATTCTCTGTGTAGTGAGGACATTTATGCCTTTGTGGTTAAATCAGAAGGAACTGCTTGTAACACAATCAAAATTCTCAAACGTGGTCATATATAACAAGTAAAACTACGAAAACACAAACAATAACTCAAATTTCACTCTGCAGGCTACAACCAAGAGGCCACCATAAAGACAGCAAATGGCTTTGAAGCTCCTTTTCCAAGGATAGACCACCAAACTGCCATGGTGAGTAATGAATGTTTACCAATTCAGATTCAACTCTTTTATGGTTTATGTGAGCCCTGAAACATTTTTTTTTTTACATTATATGTTTAAAATTTTGTCACAAACTTTGGTTTCACACCAACTCTAAAGACAGAAAAAAAACAACTGTCTGTCACAATCTGGGGCTCAAAGCAAAATATTTCCCAGATAAAAGTTTAGCAAAGACATGAAAGACAAGACAACCACAGTGCTGTGACAATGACAAGACTGCAAGTTCTTTGCAGCTAGAAAAATGTGTGACAGTTTTCAGCTTCTCCTGCTGATAGCTGACTGAATACAGAACATGTTGGAGAAAGAAAAGTAGTTATTTTTATCTTTTCATATATTTCAGTGTATAGCGAAAGTTGCACATGTAAGATGAAATCTATTTGTAGCGTGAATGAACTCTGTGCACTTCTTTTGTGTTGGAAAAACTGTGTTGATCAAGACACTTCACACATGGAAGACAAAAGAGAAAAAAAAATCTAGTCGGCTGCTTCTATTTTAAAGATCAAATGTCAAAAATTAATAAATAAACTGCATTCAATGTTCTTTGAAAAGCAGAGTGTTCCATCTTTGGACACAGAGGATGTATTAGTGGAAAGGTCATGGTGAAGCTGCAGCCTTTGGAACAAAAATATGCAGCCATCCCAACTGCATCTTTTATCAGGTAAAGCTTTGTCTGTTTTAGAAAGACAAAGACAAACTACATGCTCCACATAGCACTGCAGTTTCACTTTGTAGTAAAAGAGACCAAAAGCAAAACAAGTTGGCCTGCAGACCAGACTGTTCTCCTAAACAAAAGAGCTGGGGCAGTCGGACATAATAATAACCATAATAAAAAAAAAAAAAAAAAAACTCAATCTGTACCACTTGCATATTCTATATTAAAATTTTGTTGGGATAAGACAGACCATCACAGGGTAACACATAATCGTGAAGTGCAGATGCTCTTCATTCATTGAGACTGTTAATAAATGACTCTAAATGAACCATGAAATGTTTTTGTTTTTTTCCCAAGAAGAAAGAGCAAACATTTAATTCTCATAAATTGGTAAACTGGTAGAGATTCATAAGGAGACTGGAGGTTGCAGTTGCTGGACACAAATGCACGCCACACTTTCCAGATATTCATTTGTAAATAAAATTATACCATGTCTCATTTCTTTCTATTAGACAATTATTAGCAGATTTGTATTGTAAAATAAAGTAAAAAAATAAAAAAATAACGAAGTTGACCAAAGCTTGAGGAAAAACTTGAAAGAAAACTTAAGGAAACTAATTAAGGAAGTCTACTTGAAAGCGACATAGCTAGAGATAAGGAATAATTTGTTTGGTTTGGGTCTCTTGCAAACGCAACCTAAGCGCATTTGCAAGAAGAAGAGAGGGAGGTGAAGCTGGACAGGGTGAGGGGGAAGCTGGCAGGGCTGCAGTCAGATTGCTTAGCGGCTGAATAAATGAATGAATGAAAGGCAGGACGGTGGTAACTTGATCCACGCGGGTCGGCCTCATTGTGTTCGGCTCGCGCTCTGAAAGAAAAAAAAACGGGACAGAAAACACTCCTGGGACCTCGCGAGCCTTTCATTATTCATCACGCGTGCCTCGGAGAAAAAAAAAGAGAAGAAGAGAAAGCCTGGAGAGGAAAAATAACGGAGGAGAAGGGGGAGGAGAGAACGGCCGGTTGGAAAAGCTGGCGTATGAGAGGAGCTCAGTGCCATCCCAGTTGAGGCAGCAGCCGTTACCGTTACAACTGCGGCTGGGACCGCACGAGGAGGACCGGTTCCGCTGCCTCCCCGCTTCGTTTGGCCGGTCGTCGGGTGCTAAGGCAAAGGAGTAGCTCTGTCGTACGCCGGTCAGTTAAGCATTTGTTCTTTCTTTCAGAGGAAAAAAAAAAAAAACTAATCCCGGTTATTATCCCTTAATTAGTCGGCAGCAGGGAAGCAAAAGAAATCAGCGCTGTTTCATCATCAACAGGTAAAATAAATTAACAAAACTATACTGAAATGAGTCAGAAGTAGCTTTGAAATATTACTCTGAGACATTTTAAGTGCCCGGCCGTACAGCGAAAGTGTAACATTAGCTTAAGTGAAATGTGTAGGCCCGTGTGTGTGTCCGATGGGGGTCATTGTGTGTGTGGATAGCAGAAACAATCAGTTTGATTAGCTTTAAAGTGTGCAGGACACATAATACTGCAGAAAGAGAGACGACCAAAGGAGGTCAGTGGACCAGACTGTTTGCTGCAGCAGTCTCCCTGTCCTCCTCTGCATCACTTTAACCTACATATTGGAATGACCTTAACCTGCTTTTCATCCCCCACAGACTAACACGGTGGAAAGATAGCAACAGCATTGTTAGGGCTGCTTCTTGTGCTATTTCTCACAAAAATACTATGCTTTATTTTTCTACACTATTGGTTTTGATCTAATATTGTGGATTAAACTACACTTTTATACTGTTAGCCACGTACATTCATTTATACAGCAGTTCAGCCTCTACAGGCTATCCATTGCTTTTTCTTGCTCTAAATTGCTGTGTAGAAACACAGCAATTTTAAGATTTGGGCCAGTTTGGGCATATGTCTTGCCAAAAGATACTTTGACATTTGGTGTGGAGAAGACAGGATTGAATCGCTAACCATTCACTTGGCAGACTTCTGTGTTCCTCAGTCAGACTATAAATCTCTGTGGTTATGGTTGCTGTACAGACAGCTTTAGCTCTGTCCACTGTCAAAAATATCATAACACTCATATGTAGCCATTTTGAAAAGATGAGAGTAAAAGGCAGTGGCAGTTCAGGCATGAATTATGTCATGCCTCCAACACATACACACACACACACACACAAAGTGTGGCTGTGCAAGGACAAGTGAGTATATGATGGATGGATGGTTTGAAAAGTGCTTAAATTTCTGCTACAGCACTTTGATAGAAAAAGTAGGACTGCACCGATTGTAGTATTCTGGCCGGTCAGAGATCTTAAAAAAAAAAAAAACTGGCCTGCCGATTCTGATTTTTTCTTGTCAGAAAAATAGCTAAATATAGAAAGTCGCTAGCATAGAGTAATGCAGTACTGCTCCTCCCCCACTTCTTACTGCACATTGCTGGTCACCTGGTTAAAAGAAGTGTGATACTCTTTTATGCAGAAAAGGCAAGATGAGCTGTTTTGAAATATCTCAGGTCAAATTAGCTTTTTCTCTTAACTGTTGGCAAGTTGCTTAAATAAACTACTTTTGATTATGTATATCAGTTGTCCTTGCTCTTTGTGTCATTTCATCAAGATGCCACTCTGAGTAGTGAGCCATATTGCCTGTATCAAAAACTGACCCTGAATTATGTCTACAAGTGGTTGAAGATGATACCAAAGATGTGAAAATGTGGTTAGTATGCAGAAAAAAAGGACAAAGTCTGACTTTGTTTGCAACTGATTTTTTTAGTTTCATGTTGAACTTTTTATATATATATATATATATATATATATATATATATATATATTTTTTTTTTTTTTTTATTTTTTTTTTTTTGCTGTTGCCAAGCAATTTGCAGGTCTTTCATTAGAGACTTTGAGACTGCTCGTCGTGATCACTGAAGGGTTGTGTTATCTTGCTGATGATGGGTGTGAGTGTTATCAATTCCAATGCATGTTTGATGATTTTAAGTATGCATGTTTTAATGTCCAGAGAAACCCATCCTCTGGCTGTTTTAAATAAGAACATGCAGTCTTGCTGTTTCAGCTCCCAGCTTGAAGAGTTTGACCTTGTCTCATTGCCTTTAGTCTTGCTGATTAGTTTTACTTGACTGATTGATTGATTTTACAGTGGAGTTAATGACATTTTACCATAGGGCAGCAGACCCGTTTATTGGCACAGGAATGACGGACGTTTCAGTGGTTTGTCTTGGTGAATATTCTCACAGTCTGACTTGCATTTGAAAGGCTTTCTTATTTTTGACAGCTTATGTTTGTTTTTCATGCTGCAGTGTACATTCCAAAGCCTTGCAAACACAGCCATCTGCTGAAAAGAAGCAGGGAAAAGCAATCAGGAAAAAGAACTTTTGAAACACAACACCTTACAAAACTCTCATCCACCCTTGAACTTTTTCAGATTTAGTTAGAGCCACAAACCTCCATGTATTTTAATGGTATTTTATATGATGAACTGTCACTGGTAAAAATGTATCTTGGAATCTTACTGAGTTTTTTTTAATTACTTATTTAATAACTTCTAAATATTTATATGTTGAGATGATTAATAAATAAATGATCTAGAAAAAAAAACAATTCTATGTAAATGACAAAAGCCAAACCACACCACTGGTTTTAACTTTTGCACTACCAGTTTTTGATATGCTTACATTTAAAACTGTACTCGTCTCCCACTTTATCTGTCGCTTCAGAGTCACAAATCTCTCATTTGTCCTTAATAAATGTTGGGACAGGATGGGTTGGGAAGGACCAGACCCATCATTTGAATCCGGGAAGGATGACAGATTTGTGGGCTGGGTTTGGAAGAGCCTTTGTCGCATTGCTGTTACTTAATAGAATTTCAAATGCAACTTTCAAAAGATTCAGCCCCTGAATTTTGGCCCAGCAATTGTATTACCACTTCTTCTTTGCTCAAATTAAGTCAAATTTCCATTTTAACACTTCAAAATGCTATGATTTATTCTAAACCATTCGTTTTAAGCTTTGGGTGTATGTTTAGATTCATTTTTCTTCTGGAAGTTGAATCTCCGTCTTAGACCGAAGTCTTTTGTAACTTTCAACAGCTCTGACCACACTATCTATTTCCACATGTTGGCTGTGTCCCCTAGACAGCTTGTGGCATTGGAAATAAGACTTGGCTTTCCACTGTTCCATAAAGGCCAGATTTGTTGAGTGCACTTAAAGTTGTCCTATGAATAGCCGAGTTGTGGATTTCTACTTCAGAATAGCCATGAACCTCTGTACAGCTTCTTTGGTTGGTACTCTTATTTCCCTTTTTGGCT